GCTAGTCATGGCAGAGCTGGGGCTAAAATGTACTCTTCTATTAGAATTGATTACTACATGGTGTCATTAGGGCTAAAAAATATTTTTAACTGCCTGTGTTGTGCATGAAAGATGAGAATAAGTTAGAAAAAAAAGATAAAGTTTTTTTGCTAATTAAGCTTTCAACCTACTGTGGGGGAGGAGCCGTCCACCCCTATGCTAGTCATATGTTCCATATGTCTGATAATGGGAACCTGTAGAGGAGAGAGTCTTGGTCTAGATCTGCTTAGAGGGTTGTCCAAAAATAGTGCCATACTGGGGCTTGGCTGTCCAGACCTCTGGAAGAGGGGCTGTGTTCTAGTTATAATCCTGAGTTATTAAATGTTTCAAGATTTCTCTATTGAAAAGAGTGTTTGAAAGGAAAAGGAGGTGTTTTAGGTGCTTCTGGAATAACCACAATCACAGATAGTAGTGGTACAAAGGACTGTGAGGAAACTTCAAGGAAAAGCTTTAGAGGTATAAATGGATGAGAAGTGTGCGAGAGGCGGTAGTAGACAGGAGTCTAGGGCTGAAAATACATTTAAGGAAGAGAGTGTTTTTGTTCCTCAGGCTGGGGTGGAGAAAATGACTAATGCTTTGACGTAGTTTGCTGTAACTTTCAGGTTACAAGTTGCTGTTTAAGTTTGTGAATCTAGATTCCATCTAGGATTTTACTATTGTGAAACAACTACTAAAAGTTATACCATTTGTACTGGGATTTTGAACCAACATCCATATCCAAAGAGTTTTCATTAAATTAAATTCTTTGGGGCCGTAACATTGATTGTTGATATTCTGAACATTGAAAACGTTCACAAATAATAGCTGGCTAATATTTATTGAATACTTACTGTGTGTCAGGCACTGTTCTTAGCATTTTCTGTTGACCCCTGTTTTGCAGATGAGGAAATTCATTGTGCCTGAAGGTGCAGTAGAAAAGAGCATAATATACTCATGAACCTTCTTTGGACTGGCTTTAGTCAAATGAAAGAGAAAAAAGACAAGGGATCAGGTGACAGTGTTTTTGAGTATCAACCATCTCTCAGGGTTAATTTTTAGAATCAGTTTGTATGTGAGCTGAATGAGTTTGCTCATATATGATAATGGTTTGTTTATATCACGATAGCATTTCCATTCACTAGCCTTGTTTAAAAAAATACCTTGCAAAGAAATTATCACCATCTCTCGTTTTTCATACCCATAATGTACGATATGTTATGGGGGGATACCATATGGTGTCTGCTGTCAAAGAGCTTCTTAAAAATAAAATTAAGAACATGTTTAGTTAAATACAATGATTCTACAGTAGAGTATGTACTGGTGAGTTACTTTTCTTCTAACAATGTTGGTGATTATGTATCTAAACTGTACACAAATCCAGATGATTTTCTAAATTAATTCTACCCCTTTATCCTCTGCAGATTACCTTGCCTCTTTCATTGAGAATGAGACTATCTAACATAAACTTCTTCCTCCTTTTTCTCTCAAAAATCTTTGTAACTTCACCTCTCATTCTTTACTCCTGTTGATGTAGGGTATCTTTTAGATAGATATCCTTTTAAGGATAAACCTTCTAAGTCAAACTGATCCTATTCCCTCCTGCTTCTGGGACCTTTCCAACTTTCTCTCTTTAGTATATCCTATCCCCTGCCCAGTTCCATTCCTTCTGCCTACACAGTCATCTTCAGTTCCTCACTCTCCAAGCCATAGATTCTGTCTCTGCAGTATCTTTTGCATC